TATATATATACATATATATATAAAACATATATATATACATATATATATAAAACATATATATATATACATATATATACACACATACATACATACATACACACACGCAGTGTTTATTCAGCCCTATATAGGAGAATATGAAAAATATCAAACTGTAGAGAATTCAGGTGCTTAATAACACTGGTACTATCTAATGCCCAAAGTATATGACTCTTTCTTTGCGTATCCTATGGACATCAAAACAGTCAAGATATGTAACTGACTCAATTTTCAGGCTGAGAAAGATAGCACCACTTAAGAACCAAAAGCCACTTGATGGAAATCCATCAAAGCTACAAGAAACTATGATGTAAATTCTCAAAGTCAAATCAATTTCAAACTACCATCAGCCATCTCTCAGCATCCCATCCTGCTGTAGTTTTGCTTAAACTTACATCCTGAGTCTGAAATTCAGGCTAAACCAAAAATTTCCTTCTATCAATCCCAATATCCTTCCCACAGTCAAGATTCCCTTTAGCTTACGTATTATGGTCTTGGGACCAACAGCAGATATTGAAATGTGCAATTTATTTAAAAATATAAAATATTTTTAAAGCAAAACATTCTAGTCTAAAAGAATATATACTCAGTTGGTAGCCTGAAAGCAGTTTCATTAGGATATATTTCCAGAGTGTGACCTTCCTTCACCAAAGGCCATTTCACTATGAAGATTTTTATGTTACACGCATTACTTTCATAGCAGTTTTCAAGATGCAAATTTGTTATTAAACAGTAATAGTTGTAAATGCAACACACTTGCATTCTGTTTACTATATCAATGGAAGAAGCTGATAATAAGACTATGTAAGAAGCTCTGTGCTAATGACCATATGAGTACCAAACTAAACCAAACCCATTACCATTGAGTAGATTACAACTCATAGGATCCTATAGGACAGGGTAGAACTGCCCTATAGAGTTTTCCAAGGCTTGACAGAACTAGACTGCCACATTGTCTTCCATGGGTACAAACCACTGACCTTCTGGTTAGCAGAGAAGCACTTAACCATTGTGCCACTTAGGGCTCTGACATTATGGGCAGTGACAGGAAAAAAAGAATATTACCCTTAAGTAAAAGTTAATTATAATCAAAAACAGATTTTCTCAATGATCTTAAGTTTCGTACATTTACAACTGTTTAAAAAAAAAAAAAAAAAACACCATTATAGGTGAAAATCCTTCATGAAAAATAATTTTGCATGACCTACTGCCATCAAGTTGATTCCAACTATAAGAACTTTGTATAGTAAATGTAAAACACTAAATTCTGAACCACCTATTCCCAAGAAAACAATTACTGTCATTGTATAGAACTGTTTGAAACGTATTTATTGAAATCTAACAACAAAAAGATTGAGGAGCTCTTATGGAAAAGATAAAAGTAAATCACCCAACTTATAATCTGTTTACAAAATGGACACATGAAGTCATTATACTGAGAAAAAATAATTTCAAAGATTTCATAATAATTGTATATTTACATAAACTCTCTAACATTACCTGCCATATTGTCCAATATATCTGAGCCCCAATCTCCTTGAAACACTGATGTTAAAATGCTGTCAAATAAATGAAGTTCCTTTGCACCAACAATTTTGTCACGAAATAAGCGGCGTGCTTCATATGCTACAATTTCTAAAACATAATCTAATGGATGATTTGAGGATCCTAAAAAAGACAAAGCATTTTTAATTGCACTCAGATAACACTCAAATGATTTGAAAAGTCTGTTTCAACATAATATAAGAAAGAGAGATTAAGGCTCTACATACCGTAATTTTGACATCAGATAAACAGAAGAGAAAGAAAAAAAGTAAAATTTATTTTGTTAATGAGTTGATTAGTTTACCAAATTTATTTAAAGCCTATATTACATTCTATTATATCTAATTGTTCAGTAAAATATCATTAAACATGATTTGGCTATAAAGAATAATAATTTAATTTTTCCCTAAGAATCAAGTTTTAATATTGAAACTCGTAAATAATTTGGAAGAAGAAATACAACAAAATATATAATTATTATAATCTTTATTTATCTACTACAAATATAATAAACAGTATACATATGTACACACACAGACAAATGTCTGGCATTCTAAAGAAAGTGATTTGAAATCATGAAACTTACCTCCTTCTAAATCATATCTGAATAAGCCAAGAACCCACTGTGTAAGAACACAAGGAGTAAAGACATAGTGACTATAATCATCAACTGTAAATTTGGCCCGCACCTGAAAAAAGAAAATATAGCATATGATCAATCTAATTTCTTACGTATATAATCATTCTGTGGATGGAACTGTATTTCAGTATAAAATATTTCCTTTGTTATCCTGTGTATCATATCTTATGCATTTATGAAACTTTATTATGAGAAAGGTTCATAGCCTTCAACAAACTTCCAAAGATTGTTTGTGGGAAAAAAAAAAAAAAAAAAAACCACCCTTATTCTGCCCTTAATCATTCAGCATCAATATTAATTTGTTGTTGTTGTTGTTATGTGCTGTGGAGTCAGACCCAACTCATAGAGACCCCTCCTTGGGTTTCCAAGGCAGTATCACTATGGAAGTAGACTGCCCAACCTTCAAGGAATTTCGGGTATTCTAACTTAAATCTCCTTACTTCTACCACAATATGATAAAAAAGCACTTTCCAAACAGCACTTCCATAATTTGTACATGCTGTTCTTTTATCTAGAAAGATCTTTCATCTCAAGCCACTTGGTCAATTTTATTCATTTTTCAAGACTCAGATCAAATTTCCCCTACTTCCAAATCACTATTACATAACAAAGTTATTCAATCATGCCTCTACACCGTCTGAAATTCTACATGCTGCTATTGTTACATTTATCACACTGTATTAAGTATGTGTTTATTTATATGAGTAGGTCCCTCATTAGACTGTCAACTTCCAGAGAATAGACTCCTTCATCTTTGCATTGCTAGGACTGGCAAGAGAAGGCTCTAAATAAACATCTTCTGCATACTCAATGCCTATTTTCAAGTATCTTTTCACTTTACTAAGGAAAAAAATAGTTTGTCATGCTGTGGTGGCTTACAAGTTGCTGTGACACTGGAGGCTGTGTCACCAGTATTTCAAATACCAGCAGGGTCACTCATGGTGGGAAGGTTTTAAAAAGCTTTCACACTAAGACTGGGAAGAAGGACAGGACCATGCACTTCTGAAAAAAACTAGCCACTGAAAACCTTATGAATAGCAATAAAACACTGACATATTACTGGAAAGCTTCATGAACACCCATGAAACACTGTCTGATACAGTGCAGGAAGATGAGTCTCTCAGGTTATAAGACACTCAAAATATGACTGGAGAAGAGCTGCCTTCTCAATGCAGATTCAACCTTAATAATGTGGGTGCAATATCAGGACCTTCCTTTGCACAACTCAAAATGGGAAGAAACCAATGCACTACTAATTGGAACATGGATTGTATGAAGTACGAAACATAGGTAGCAGGAAAGAATAAACACTAAAGACTACTCTCTAAAGTTGGAAGCCTAGAAATCAGAAATTGATAGAAGTCAAAAGAGATGATTTTGCAACGAAGATGGACTCCATTCTAAATATGCTAAATTTGAGTTGATAGCAGAATATTCATCCTGATTCATTCATTCAAAAAAAATTTATTAGTGCCTATTGGAAATGGTTGCAGCAGTATATTGACAAGGAAGTTACTTCCTGAAATTCAAGTTGGATTCAGAAGAGGATGTAGAACAAGGGATATCATTGCAGATATCAGATGGATCTTGGCTCACAGCAAACAATACCAGAAAGATGTAACTGTGTTTTACTGATTATGAAAAGGCATTTGACTGTGTGGATCATAACAAACTATGGATAATATTATGAAAAATGGGAATTCTAGAACCCTTAATTGTGCTCATGAGGAACCTAAAATAGACCAAGAGGCAGTCCTTCAACCAGAACAAGGGGATGTTGCGTGGTTTAAACTCTGGACAGGTGTATATCTGGGTTGTATCTTTTCACCACATGTATTCAATCTGTATGCTGACTAAATAATCCATGAAGCTGGGCAATGTATCATCAGGATTGGAGGAAGATTCATTAACAACCTGTGCTAAGCAGATAATACAACCTTGCTTGCTGGAAATGAAGAAGACTTGAATCACTTACTGATGAGGATCAAAGACTACAGACTTCAGTATAGACTACATCACAACATGAAGAAAAAAAAATCCTTACAACTAGACCAATAAGCAACATTATGGTAAGTGGAGAAAAGATTGAAGCTGTCAAGGATTTCATTTTATTTTGGTCCACAATCATGTCCAATGGAAGCAGCAGTCAAGAAATCAAATATGTATTGCATTGGACAAATCTGCTGCAAAAGACCACTTGAAAGTGTTTAAGAGCAAAGATGTCACTTCTAAACTAAAATGCACCTCACCCAAGCCATGGTTTTTGTAATAGCCTTATATGCAAGTGAGAGCTAGACAGTGAATAAGGAAGACCACAGAATAATTAATGTATTTAAATTGTTGTGTTAGTAAACAACATTGAACATATCATGGACTGCTAGAAGAATAAATTTGTCTTGGAGGAAGTATAGCCAGAATGAATAAATTTGTCTTGGAGGCAGTATAGCCAGAATGCCTATTAAAAGTGTCTTCTGTACTTTGATCACACTGTCAGAAGGGACCAGTCCCTGGAGAAAGATACCACACATGGTAAAGTGGAGGGTTAGCAATAAAGGCAAAGACCTTCAACTAGACAGATTGACACAGTAGCTGCAACGATGGGCTCCAGCACAATGACAATTGTGAGGAAAGCATAGAACTGGGCAGCGTTTTGTTCTGTTGCACATAGGAATAGGAATTAGAATTGGAACCAGAAAATTTGAATTGAAAACGACTCAACTGTACCAACAACAACATTGACAACTGTGCCAAGTTAGCTAGTAGATACAATCATGAATAAGACACAAAGTATCTGCCACTCATGAAGCTTACTCGCTAGCAGAAATGTCTAATAGCAGAAAAGTAAAGCCTGGGAACAATACAAAGTCCAGGATTAACAGTTGCTTTTAGGAGCAAAACCAATTACATGAAAACTACAGTATAAATGAATATATACCTGTTCATATACTTGTACCATAGATCCTGCTAAGAGATAAATTTTTGATGAAGAACCCCAAATGGGATGATTCTTCAAATTCTTATGCAGAACTGGTTCCAAATATGCTCCATAAATGGTTTGTAATTGCTCTCTTTCTGGGTAACTAAAAAAAAAAATCATATAAGAAAGAAAGTTGAAATGAATTAGATTAGTATTCTGAAGTATTATTTTCATGTTAAGTTACAGCAGTGGTTTTCATACTGTGCTACTCTGAGACCTAGATACCTCAGAGGCTTACTCAAGAGTTAAAGGACATTTCAGGCTCAAAGTCCTCACTTTCACTTCAAGCAAATTAGATCTCCACTGATCTATTATTAAATACTGAGGGTCTTAATAGAGGATTCCAATGGAATGATTCTGAAACTTGCTTGAAAAACCACGGATCTTTAGGGAAATTTTAAGAAAAAGCATTGAGTTAAACACTGCCTATACACTGGGCAGTAAAATTCACCTCAAAACTATAAAAATAGAACCAATAAAACAAAATTCACATATTTCCCCAAACTGAAATTTATTTCAATACAGCTTAATTTGTGGTATAACATTAAAAAAAAAGAGAGAAAGAGAATGTTAATAGACAGGATACATCAGCATGAAAGCATGCTGTACAAGGCTTTGTAAAGCATAATTTAACAGCATTTAAGCAGACAAGACAGCACCATAATCAGAAGATTTAAGAGCCCCTGGAACAATTAAAAGGCACTCTGGTGGTGCAGTGGGTAGGATATTTGGCTGTTAACCAGAATGTCAGTGGTTCAAAGCAACCATCTGCCCTGTGGGAAGAAAATGAGGCAAACTCCTTCCATAAAGATTTACAGCCTTGGAAATGCAATAAGGGTCACTCTGAATTGGAACTGACTCAGTGGCAATTCCTCATAGCATGGTTTTTTTGGAACAATTAAAGGCCATAGAGATGAATGATATATTAAAATTGATGCCCTTAGCCAATTAAATTACCTAACTCTCCTTTTTTCAAATTTAAATTTTCTTTAGTTATCTTTACATAATTTTTATAAAGTTTGATAGTATTTGTGAATTTATGAAACATTTACATTTTAAAATCTACCTTTCAGATTCCTGATAATGACATTTTAGAAACTGATTGGTTTTATTTCCATACATGTTTCTAATATTTAAAATGCTTTCATTAAAGCCTTCATCCTCCTAAATTGTTGCTTCTAGTTTTTGGAAAGAAAGGAAAATAAAAAAGAGTCAAAGCTTAAAGTTTAATCATTTATAGAAACGTCATAATGGATACCTTTAATAAAATGAAATTATATAATTACTCTTAAATAAATAAATAAATAAATAAAACTGGAAAACATTAAGGTACATACTCTACTGCACAAAGACGAACAATAGAAGCAAATCTGGTGTTAAGCTTATGTCTTCCCAGTCTTCCTCCAGCTGACATAGAAGCCACAATTTGAATATTTTCCAAACCAACCCATTCCAAATTTTCATCATAAAATCCTTGATATGTCAATACCTATTTGAAAATAAATGTATATGAAACATTTTATATGTGAGATTTTATCATAGTATAAAAATGCTGTTCCTAAAATTCAATTTTTTCAACATGTAAACATCATTCTCTACCTAACTCAGGAATTTAAGATTGAAATATATTTTAAATTCTTATATCTTTTTTAAATAACACTGTTCAAGTATCTGTGATCAATTAGTGTCAGCTCAGTAAGTCTCATTTTTAAATGCTTTTCTCTCCAATAAACATTAAAATCCAAATCATATTATAAATCAAATAGCAATTATTTTTTAAAAAATAGCTAGACAAAATATAAGAAAAAAGTTTTATCTTCTATAAATATTTTATTATAATTATGCAGTTGCATGGTAGAGCTAAATTTTGACATAGGTAAGTGGAAGTTCTTAGAATTTAGAGTTTCTACTGTGATATAAGGAGTCCCTTCATGTGTGGTGCAAATGGTTAATTCAAATGGTTAACTGGCTGCTAACCAATTGGTTGGAAGTTGAAATCTACCTGGAGGCTCTTTGGAAGCAAGGCCTACAGAATGACTTCCAAAAAATCAGCCACTGAAATCTCTGTGGAGAACAGTCCTCTGACGCACATGGGGTCACCATGGGTAGGAATTAACTCAACAACAACAGTTAATGTGATGTAAATCATATAAACAAAATTTACTACTTGAGTGAATGTACAGTCACAAATCCTAACACGACCAATGGTCTAAAGAAAGGGGCATGGTTGACCCTATGGTAAGAACAATGTATACCTAAAAAAAAAGTAAAGTAACTGTTTCCTTAACTACAATTCCATCCCCTTCCTCTGCTTTTTCCTTGTTTTAGAAATAAAGGACAGGTAATATATGTAGGATAAAAGTTGTTTGTACTCTTCCTCTCACAGAGATATATTAACTTCTAAAGAAAGGAAAAGCAAAGAAAGTAGCTCTGGAATAACAATGAGATGTTTCAGGAGCTTCATTTCCATGACATATGCTTGATAAAACTGACTCCAAAGGAGGAAAGCAAAAGATTTTCTATCTATAAAAAAAGTTAGTGAAATTAAATTATTTTTCATTATATCAAAATACTTCAAGCGATTAAGACTCACCTGTTGTAGGAAAGCTACCAAAGTACTGGTCCCCCATTTATCAAGCTTGGGAAGGTTGATATCTTTTAAGTACAAAACAAGCCATTCACAGTCTTTTGGTCTGTATACTCGACCAGTATTAGTACTGATTACCATGCAAGTCTGGCTCAACTTCTGCAGGAGATGTCGAGAGGTAGTTTGTGCACTACAGTGAATTGTAGCAATTTGAGTGGATCGAAGTTGGGAAAAGGCATACCTGAGCAGCATCCTAAGGAAGATGTATGATATTTCACTTTGAAAATTAATCAATACACATTTAAAATTCAATTTAAAATTTGTCTTATAAATATTTCAATTTCTAAATTATATGTGATGATGTTACAGCGGAAAGTACCAAACATTGATTAAAAAAAGTAATTTTTTAATTTATAGACTAAAAAACAAAACAAAAAAAAAAAACCACTGCTGTCGAGTTGGATCCAACTCATAGCAACCCCTCCTTGGGTTTCCAAGGCGGTATCACTATGGAAGTAGATTGCCCAATCTTCCTTCCAAGGAGTGGCTGGTGGATTTGAACTGCCAGCCTTCTGGTTAGCAGTCAAATGCCTTAGGCACTATGCCACCAGAGCTCTCCTGATCTATAGACTAGAAAAAACTAATTCACATTTTAAGGCATTTTCATGAAACTTCTCTGCAAAATAAATCAGAGTTCACAGAAATAATTTAGTCTGATAAAAGCACATATAAAATAGACTAACCCTCTCTCCATAGTTAAAGAAAAAAATCTACAAATTTTAAGTTATCCAAAGTTAAAATATATATCTATGTTTATAAACAATTTTTTTTAATTACTATTGTTCTACTAGAAAGTGAAACTAATAGTTCATGGCTCCTTTGTTTCTAGAAACTATACTTTTTTAGTAGGCACTAAAAATTAGCTGAATTCCACTGAATTAAAAACTACTTTTAACTAGAGAGCTAACTTCAAGATCATATTTTATAACTAACCCAAAACCCATTGTCCTCAAGATGATTCCAACTCATAGTGACCCTATAGGACAGAGTAGAATTACCCCATAGGGTTTCCAAGTCAGAGGTAGACTGCCTCATCTTTCCCAAGAGTGGCTGGGAGTTCAAACTGCTGACCTTTTAATTAGCAGCTGAACGCCTTAACCACTATACCACAAGAGGTCCCTTTAATAACTAGCCCAAAAAACCAAACCCACTGCCATCAAGTTGATTCCAATACACAGTGAGCCCACGTGAGGGGGGGGTGGTCTGTAATCTACTTTACAGAAGTTGATTGCCTCATCTTCCTCCCACAGAGCTGCTGGTGAGTTTGAACCACTGACCTTCTGGTTAGTAGCCAAATGTCTTACCCACTACCCCACCAGAGTTCCTTCTACAACTAAAGTAAGTGGTGATTTGTGAGTATATCTAAGGTAATCATTTTTTGTTATGAGTAAATGCACAGATTCTTTTTAAAAGCATCATCTCAGACTGCTCTTTTTTCATTAGAAACATATATAACCTAGCAGAGAAAATGACCCATACACTTCTCCATTGTCATATTATTTTTACAAGTAGTGACAATGAAAGAGTCTTTCATAAAAATATAAATAATAAATACTACTTCCATCAAAAGAAACATAAAAGCTGCTAAATTTGAGGGGGGGGTGCAATCACTAAATGCACAATATCACCTTACTCAACACTTTTCTGCTCTTACCCTTTGCCACATCCTTCTGGTCCTACGAGAATAAATGGTTGTTTAGAATTAGAACTTAACCAAGGTTTGAAATAATCTAGACCTCGTTGCATATCAGGAATCTGAATGACTGGAAGAGTTTGGCCATTACTGAAATCCTCAGCAGTCAGGTTGTCTGGCTTCTTCAGCACATAAGATGCTAATCGTCCTTTACTTGAGTCATAGAACGAGTCCATTGGTTTATGAGGGTCTGGAGGAGATTCTCGAGCCCAGTTAAAAACCTTAAGAATACAAAATTGTAACAAGTTTTCACAAACTCTAGAAAATGTGAAATTTTAATCCTGCAAAGTCAATGTTACAGAAATGAATCATTTTAGTTAAATTAAAAAAGGCAACACACACTACACCTAATAACTATCCTTTATAATTAAAATAACATTTTACCTCAAATATTTAATTTTCTCTAAATGACCATTTAAGCAAATAAATAAAAGTCATATATTTTTTACATACATCATGGAATAAATATATTCAACTTTTAACAGAGCTCTTATGAACACAAAATTATAAATTATAGGTGGTAAGTACCCTAAAGTCCTTGATTTCTACTATATTCTGGCACTGCCCTTTTCAGTGTTGCCATCACTGCTCTAAATCGTTGTTTTTCTGTCAAATACTAAAAAATATTTGCATAGATGTAAAACAGAGAGATAGCCTCTGATGCTACTCTTCAACACTTTTATTTTGTACTTTAGCAAGATTATGTTTGTTGAAAAGCAGCAAATAATATGGTATTAATTGGTAACAATAAGAAGCATCTAGTAACAGAGGCAACAAGACAGCCAGGGAAAGGAAATAAATACATAAGCAAAATGATGGGATCAAAAGAAACAAAATGGAAAAAAACAGCAGGAATATAATGTTTTAGCCAACCCAAAAGAATATATGTTCAACTACTTTAAAAAAAGCTATTGGAAAAAAATCCCTTATTATGTACAATTCGGGAGCTCTGGTAGCATAGTAACTAAGGCACTTGACTGCTAA